TGTATTTCATTCAAAGGAATTCTGCACAGTCTTGGATAGTCAACACATATGCTCTTGGCAGATAATACCAGACACATTAAAATACATAAAACACATTAAAAAGAATATAGTCTCACATTAAAAGACAGTCCAGACACCCTGAAACAAGTGTAGGTAATGATCACTTTATTGATAGTCATTGATAGTTAATTTCACCAGGTCTGCAAAGGTACACGTCTGTAGTAGGCTGTGCAAACATGCTAAAACAGCACAGAACCACTCCCACTCCCCCAATCAACAAATGTATACACTTCCAGTCAAAAATCTGGACACACCTACTCATTCAAGGGTTTTTCTTTATTTTTACTATTTTTTAAATTGTAGAATAATAGTGAAGACTTCAAAACTATGAAATAACACATATGGAATCATGTAGTATCCAAAAAAGTGTTAAACAAATACAAATATATTTTATATTTGAGATTCTTCAAATATCCACCCTTTGCCTTGATGACAGCTTTGCACACTCTTGACATTCTCTCAACTAGCTTCATGAAGTAGTCACCTGGAATGCATTTCCATTAACAGGTGTGCCTTCTTAAAAGTTAATTTGTGGAATTTATTTCCTTCTTAATGTGTTTGAGCCAATCAGTTGTGTTGGGACAAGGTTTACAGAAGATAGCCCTATTTGGTAAAAGACCAAGTCCATATTATGGCAAGAAAAGCTCAAATAAGCAAAGAGAAACGACAGTCCATCATTACTTTAAGACATGAAGGTCAGTCAATCCGGAAAATGTCAAGAACTTTGAAAGTTTCTTCAAGTGCAGTTGCAAAAACCTTCAAGCGCTATGATGAAACTGGCTCACATGAGGACCACCACAGGAATGGAAGACCCAGAGTTACCTCTGCTGCAGAAGATAAGTTAATTAGCGTTAACAGCCTCAGAAATTGCAGGCCAAATAAATGCTTCACAGAGTTCAAGTAACAGACACATCTCATCAACTGTTCAGAGGAGACTGCGTGAATCAGGCCTTCATGGTCGAATTGCTGCAAAGAAACCACTACTAAAGGACACCAATAATAAGAAGAGACTTGCTTGGGCCAAGAAACACGAGCAATGGACATTAGACCGGTGGAAATTTGTCCTTAGGTCTGGATTCCAAATTGGAGATTTCTGGTTCCAACCAACTTGTCTTTGAGAGACGCGGTGTGGGTGAACAGATGATCTCCGCATGTGTAGTTGCCCACCGTAAAGCATGGAGGAGGAGGTGTTATGGTGGGGGTGCTTTGCTGGTGACACTGTCTGTGATGTATTTAGAATTCAAGGCACACTTAACCAGCATGGTTACCACAGCATTCTGCAGCGATACGCCATCCCATCTGGTTTGGGCTTAGTGGGACTATCATTTGTTTTCAACAGGACAATGACCCAACACACCTCAAGGCTGTGTAAGGGCTATTTTACCAAGAAGGAGAGTGATGGAGTGCTGCATCAGATGACCTGGCCTCCACAATCCCCCGACCTCAACCCAATTGAGATGGTTTGGGATGAATCGGACGGCAGAGTGAAGGAAAAGCAGCCAACAAGTGCTCAGCATACAGTTGAAGTCGGAAGTTTACATACACCTTAGCCAAATACATTTAAACTAAGTTTTTCACAATTCCTGACATTTAATCCTAGTAAAGATTCCCTGTTTTAGGTCAGTTCGGATCACCACATTATTTTAAGAATGTGAAATGTCAGAATAATAGTAGAGTGATTTATTTCAGCTTTTATTTATTTCATCACCTTCCCAGTGGGTCAGAAGTTTACATACACTCAATTAGTATTTGGTAGCATTGCCTTTAAATTGTTTAACTTGGGTCAAACGTTTCGAGTAACCTTCCACAAGCTTCCCACAATAAGTTGGGTGAATGTTGGCCCATTCCTCCTGACAGAGCTGGTGTAACTGAGTCAGGTTTGTAGGCCTCCTTGCTCGCACACGCTTTTTCAGTTCTGCCCACAAATTGAGGTCAGGGCTTTGTGATGGCCACTCCAATACCTTGACTTTGTTGTCCTTAAGCAATTTTGTCACAACTTTGGAAGTATGCTTGGGGTCATTGTCAATTTGGAAGACCCATTTGCGACCAAGCTTTAACTTCCTGACTGATGTCTTGAGATGTTGCTTCAATATATCCACATAATTTTCCTTCCTCATGATGCCATCTATTTTGTGAAGTGCACCAGTCCCTCCTGCAGCAAAGCACCCCCACAGCATGATGCTGCCACCCCCGTGCTTCATGGTTGGGATGGTGTTCTTCGGCTTGCAAGCATTCCCCTTTTTCCTCCAAACATAAAGATTGTCATTATGGCCAAACAGTTCTATTTTTGTTTCATCAGACCAGAGGACATTTCTCCAAAAAGTATGTTCTTTGTCCCCATGTGCAGTTGCAAACCGTAGTCTGGCTTTTTTTATGGCGGTTTTGGAGCAGTGGCTTCTTCCTTGCTGAGCGGCCATTCAGGTTATGTCGATATAGGACTCGTTTTACTGTGGATATAGATACTTTTGTACCTGTTTCCTCCAGCATCTTCACAAGGTCCTTTGCTGTTATTCTGGGATTGATGTGCACTTTCCGCACCAAAATACGTTAATCTCTAGGAGACAGAACGCGTCTCCTTCCTGAGCGGTATGACGGCTGCGTGGTCCCACAGTGTTTATACTTGCGTACTATTGTTTGTACAGATGAACGTGGTACCTTCAGGCATTTGGAAATTGCTCCCAAGGATGAACCAGACTTGTGGAGGTCTACAAATTTTTTTTCTGAGGTCTTGGCTGATTTCTTTTGATTTTCCCATGATGTCAAGCAAAGAGGCACTGAGTTTGAAGGTAGGCCTTGAAATACATCCACAGGTACACCTCCAATTGACTCAAATGATGTCAATTAGCCTATCAGAAGCTTCTAAAGCCATTACATCATTTTCTGGAATTTTCCAAGCTGTTTAAAGGCACAGTCAACTTAGTGTATGTAAACTTCTGACCCACTGGATTCGTGATACAGTGAATTATAAGTGAAATAATCTGTCTGTAAACAATTGTTGGAAAAATTACTTGTGTCATGCACCGACAAGTCCTAACCGACTTGCCAAAACTATAGTTTGTTAACAAGAAATTTGCGCAGTGCTTGAAAAACAAGTTTTAATGACTCCAACCTAAGTGTATGTAAACTTCTGACTTCAACTGTATGTGGGAACTCCTTCAAGACTGTTGGTAATGCATTCAGGTGAAGCTGGTTGAGAGAATGCCAAGAGTGTACAAAGCTGTCATCAAGGCAAAGGGTGGCTATTTGAAGAATTTCAAATATAAAATATATTTTGATTTGTTTAACACTTTTTTGGTTACTACATGATTCCATATGTGTTATTTCATAGTTTTGATCCCTTCACTATTGTTCTACAATGTAGAAAATAGTAAAAAGAAAGAAAAACCCTGGAATGAGTAGGTGTGTCCAAACTTTTGACTGGTACTGTATAATCATAGTCATATACAGTATTCCAAATACATATACAGATAATCGTTTTGTTTTATATATTTAGAAAAATATAAAGTCCAAGCTTTAAAACTGACTGACAAAAAAACAACAATTCACAACAAGAAGTCCCAGATGTAGTATATGATGTCTACATATGCTCAAGTGTATGTGTTTGTGTGTGATATGATGTGCGTGTGTGTTCACGAGACAGTGTCAGAGAGGAAAGCTCTGCAGACAGAGGGTACGAGCTCACAGCTGAAGGGAGAAAAAAAGATTATGTAGCCATTTTGTGAATTATGAGTAACATATGGCAGTGTTTAATAAACAACCTGTCAGGGCGGCTCACGACCCAACACAAATACTCCTCCGCCCCCAGCTACTCAGAGGAACCGAGGAGCCTGACCTCTAACGGGGTTGCACTCAAGATCTGACGTCAAATGTTTTGCTAACAGTGTGAGACTGGTGCGTGTGTTGTACTGTAGGTGTAATGGGAGCAATAATTTATTGCAGACTACAACTTCTACAGTAATCCACCTAATTTCCTCTCATCTACAGCCATTTGTCTCTTGCTGAATGAGTTTCTCATATTGTATTAGCTCGACTTCCTGTGTCGGTTATTTATCAGCCATGTAAGCCTACTGTATATCCTTGATCTTGTAACTTTACTGCTGGCTTCCAAAGCAACAACAAAGGAGAAGGCAGTAGAATATGAGTATACTTATATTATTAGCCAAGTAGCCATGGTAGCAAAGCAAATAGAGGGACGTTTTCTCTCAGCATTTGGCCAGAGGAAAGAAAGGATGAGAGAGTAGGGGAGATATTTGATGAATGACCAGAAGAGGAAGAGCGGAGCCCCATTACTTCCTCATTAATGGTAAATGACAAAGCCGAGAGGGACCAGAGCGCAGGAGTTATCGTACACCATCAGAGACACAGAGGAGATTGGATTTAAATAGACATTCAAAATCCATTTGTAGTGAATTCAGGGAAAAGTCGGCAGTAGGGCTCCAACTTGTGACATTGTATTGTACATTTTACATTTTAGTCATTTAGCAGACGCTCTTATCCAGAGCAACTTACAGTTAGTGAGTGCATACATTTTTCATACTGGCCCCCCGTGGGAAACGAACCCACAACTCTGGCGTTGCAAGCGCCATGCTCTACCAACTGAGCTACAGGGGACTACAACCCAACATGGTGTACATGCCAACCCAACATGGTTTAAACTGGACCAAAGTATCTAGACCTCTTGGTAGGGTTGTAGAGTGATTAGTATATCAGATATGGTCGATATTAATATTTTTTCTTACCCTAGTGGTTCAGAGGTTAAATACCTGATTCTACTTCAAAGGGTCCGTTGTATTTCCAGCGACCTCCGGAGTCAGTTTCTTAAACCCTTAATGGGGAGTTTAATGAGGAAATGTAAACCAAGTAAATGCTCCGTAGATATTAGCATATGGGTGGTCCAAGTCAGCAGAGTGGTGTGTGTGTGTGTGTGTGTGTGTGTGTGTGTGTGTGTTTGTGTGTGTGTGTTTGTGCGTGCATGCTTATAAAGAGGAGATGGTACCCTAACAGTGGTCTGTCAGCCTGTGGCTCTATCCCATCACTTTGAAACTGTTTGTAAATTAAAATAGCCAATTGCCGTATGGACAGGGTGTTAGCAGATGGGTGTGTTTGTATAGTGCATGAGATGGGCATGGAAAGAGACAGGGTGTATTTGGGAATCCAAAGTGGCATACTTTCAGTGAGCAACAAAACTCCCTAAAATGGAGCCCTTAGTCCCCTTGAAAACATTGAAGATTTACAATACTACAATGAGTGTTGAATGAGGGCATAAGAGAATACACACGCTCACTAACTGTACACTATACAGACAACACCTCAGGGGCTATACAGACAACACCTCAGGGGCTATACGGACAACACATCAGGGGCAATACAGACAACACCTCAGTGGCTATACAGACAACACCTCAGGGGCTATACAGACAACACCTCAGGGGCAATACAGACAACACCTCAGGGGCAATACAGACAACACCTCAGGGGCTATACAGACAACACCTCAGGGCATACAGACAACACCTCAGGGGCTATACAGACAACACCTCAGGGCAATACAGACAACACCTCAGGGGCTATACAGACAACACCTCAGGGCAATACAGACAACACCTCAGGGGCTATACAGACAACACCTCAGGGGCAATACAGACAACACCTCAGGGGCTATACAGACAACACCTCAGGGCTATACAGACAACACCTCAGGGGCTATACAGACAACACCTCAGGGGCTATACAGACAACACCTCAGGGGCTATACAGACAACACCTCAGGGGCTATACAGACAACACCTCAGGGGCTATACAGACAACACCTCAGGGGCTATACAGACAACACCTCAGGGGCTATACAGACAACACCTCAGGGGCTATACAGACAACACCTCAGGGGCATACAGACAACACCTCAGGGGCAATACAGACAACACCTCAGGGGCAATACAGACAACACCTCAGGGCTATACAGACAACACCTCAGGGGCTATACAGACAACACCTCAGGGCAATACAGACAACACCTCAGGGCATACAGACAACACCTCAGGGGCATACAGACAACACCTCAGGGGCTATACAGACAACACCTCAGGGGCTATACGACAAACCTCAGGGGCTATACAGACAACACCTCAGGGGCTATACAGACAACACCTCAGGGGCTATACAGACAACACCTCAGGGGCTATACAGACAACACCTCAGGGCAATACAGACAACACCTCAGGGGCATACAGACAACACCTCAGGGGCTATACAGACAACACCTCAGGGGCTATACAGACAACACCTCAGGGGCTATACAGACAACACCTCAGGGGCTATACAGACAACACCTCAGGGGCTATACAGACAACACCTCAGGGGCAATACAGACAACACCTCAGGGGCTATACAGACAACACCTCAGGGGCTATACAGACAACACCTCAGGGGCTATACAGACAACACCTCAGGGGCTATACAGACAACACCTCAGGGGCTATACAGACAACACCTCAGGGCAATACAGACAACACCTCAGGGGCTATACAGACAACACCTCAGGGCTATACAGACAACACCTCAGGGGCTATACAGACAACACCTCAGGGGCTATACAGACAACACCTCAGGGGCTATACAGACAACACCTCAGGGCAATACAGACAACACCTCAGGGGCAATACAGACAACACCTCAGGGGCTATACAGACAACACCTCAGGGGCTATACAGACAACACCTCAGGGGCAATACAGACAACACCTCAGGGGCTATACAGACAACACCTCAGGGGCTATACAGACAACACCTCAGGGGCAATACAGACAACACCTCAGGGGCTATACAGACAACACCTCAGGGGCTATACAGACAACACCTCAGGGGCTATACAGACAACACCTCAGGGGCAATACAGACAACACCTCAGGGGCTATACAGACAACACCTCAGGGGCTATACAGACAACACCTCAGGGGCTATACAGACAACACCTCAGGGGCTATACAGACAACACCTCAGGGGCTATACAGTAAAGTACACACAATGAGTCAGTAGGGAGAGGGGAAAGATTCCCCCAAAAGTTGAACACAACAAGATATTCTATGAACAGTCTCAGCCCTAAAAAAATCACCTTTCAACATCCCTGTTCCCTTCATTTTTCTTGGACAGGGGCGTTACAGAGACCGAACTTCCCCTTCAGGATCCGTACAAACCATTAAAGCCCTGCACTCCCCTGCTATCGCCCCTCACACTGCTGAGCTGGAGAGCTGCACCCAGCCGACCTCTGTGTAGGCGCCCGTCACATGCCAGTACACCGCCCCCATCAGTTTGGTCCACACCATTTGCACCTCTGCCGTGAAGCATTCTGGGAAGTCCTCCGACAACACCTCCAGTATTACACCACACAGGATCTGAGAGACGGAGAAAGGGAGGGAGTGAGATAAACAATGAGGAGAAAGGTGAGAGGAAGAGGAGGGCAAGATGTAAAGAAAAAGAACAATTGGTAGATGAAGAAAGAGAGAGGAGTAAAAATGGAGGAGAGCACCCTCATAGCCTTTCCAGTTGGCATCAACTTCAAACAGAGCAATGCAACTTCAGTCCTCTCCCCTCAAAACCTTTCAGAGGGACATTAGGGACCACTAACACAGACAAGCCACCACCTCACCTTAAAGTACATGGGCTCCACCTTGTGTTTGACAGCATGAGCCTTGCCCACCAGAGCCAGAACAGAGGACACTTTCTCTGGGTCGTGGAGGTTCTCCACCACCGTGTTGATGGCGCCCATCACCCGGCGGGCGTGGTGCCTTAGCTGGACACTGCGCTCCATCTCCTCTGGGTCATCCATGTCCTGAAACTGGCTGAAGTACTGCTTGGCCGATGGGAAGTTCACAAAGAACCTGGAGGACAGAAGACCAATAACATTCTTACTCTAACGTGATTTTCCTGGAACTTCTGGTGACAAGGTTTATCTATGGCTCTGGGTAGAAGTTAGTGTACTCATAATATCATAATATACACAGAACGACCATGCAATCAAACAATATCAGGGGAAGTCCAAGAAACTGGGGGGACAAAAGAGTCAGAGTTAGACTTAGTACAGGGCCATGATGGTACAAGCACAGCTTATGTGGATATCATCCATGCTGGTTTCAAATGTTCCAGGACAATGATATTCTAATTAGACAATAACACTCTTATTCGAATGTCCTCATAATCCACACAGAGCAAGACAGAATATATCAAAATGCCTACAGGCAATCACATGATGTCAGTGTAAAAATGAGGGATGAATAATATGTCAGTTAATACCCTCTGCAAAAGTCACTGAAATTACTGAAGTTACTGAAATCGGTACTAGTGGGGAATATGTACGCTTCATAACATTTGACCAATGCATTCAAGCTTGAAGATTTCTGAATCTACTCATTGAATGGATGCCCTGTGGCCATAAAGTCACACGCGTAAAAAAAAAAAATCTGGAGACATTATTGCTCGTTGTAATGTGTGACCTAGAGCTAATGACAAGTACCCAAAGTTTTCAAAATGCACAATGTGCCTTGAGTTGTAATCATCCTATTAACATAGCCTCATCTGCACCTAGGTGATTGGGCTTACTTATCACTTGTCACGACTTGGGTTTACGACTCAAGTGTTTACGTTCTGCGAGTGGAGTGTGCTGCTCAATTCTCATGATTTCTCGTGTCTACTTGGAGCTTTGGAGAATCCGCTCAGGGCGCCGCCAACACGGCAACGCGGGGTGATTGGCAGACGGGAATGGTAAAGTGGTGCTGATGAGGCGAGGAGCGTTACGATCGTTACGTTTCTTTCAGTGTAATTAGAGGCAGGTGCTGCTGGGTACCGGAGGAGCGAGATGGGTGGCAGTCGATGTTCCTCTCGGAGCATTTCACCCGCGGTGACTGTGTGTAGGAGGTTTCCTCTGTCTAAATGCTTCAGCCACATAACAATACCTGCCATACACAGCAATGAAGGATGCAAAAAAACTCAATGTCCTGTGACTGCTTTGTCATCCACAACAGTAGATACCAGCCTCCATGCCAGCCTTGCATGTCCTAAAGTGCTTTTGTCAAGTCCTTCCCTCTCTAGTCACAGATGCTGTATATCCTGCAGCACTAAACACTTTTCCTGAATGGAAAATAATGGAACTTCAAAAGGAAGAGCACCTCTCTGAGGATTACTGGACTTCACACAGAGGGTACTATGACTGATGTGTGTGCTGTCTATGGACTAGTTTGAACTGCAAGTTCTTTTAGAGCCATACAGTAAAGCCCATTCTCCAACCACCCTATGAGATGTAAGCTGAGAGAATGGGAATCGCCCGGCTTTGTTTTGATTGAGGTCTACAGTTTGTACGTCACCACCACCGAGACTGACCACATCAGGGCACCTCAAGACCACATCAGGGCACCTGTGTATTTTTGCAGATAAGACTATAATGAAGTTTCCACAAGCTTACAAGGAGATATATGGGGGATATTTTTTGCTTTTTGACTCTGTCCTCACCTTTTCTGGTGAAAGCACAGCAAACAAATATGTAAACAAATGAATAATTGAAACACACACACACACACACACACATACACTCGTCTTGTTTCACCCCTGACCCAATTTGACTTGTGTAAGTGCTTTACACCAGTGCGGCTGACTGGGTACGAGGGTTTAGTTATTCAGCGTTGGTTAGGTTTGGCCCCTGGCAGCAGTGCTACACTACACTACACCGCATCCCCGCAGATCCTGTGACATGCTATGCTACGCTACGCTACAGAGGCGCCTGCTTGCCCGTAGCTGTCCCCAAGCCAAGCTCTCCCAGCTGTCGCTGCTTCACGCAGTCTTTGAAACAACAAGGGACACTAGCTTGTTGTTCCTTGCAGATAAACACGAAAGTCCCTTAGAGCTTTGTGAGGAAAGGACTTTTTCTCTTAGAAGTCAGAAATGAAGGACTTTTTGCGTATACCTCGCCAATCCCCTTTAGGGCCCCCTTCATAGGTACAAGCGTATTGCGCAATATACTGTTAAATATACAAACAGTGTATATCCACTTTTATATCTGCATGTATATTTCTACATCTCGTATCTATATAATGCAAGACAGTTAAAACATTTGCCCTGAAACCCTAACACAACCAGAACCAGAGAGTGACAGAGTGGAGTGTCTGGAGTGTCAAAGATGCTCTCACACTGAATTCCCCCAACCTGTCGCTGCATTTAAATGAAGTCATCAAAGCAGCACCGTTAGTGGTTTGTTAGTCACATTCTAATTAGTCTTGAAGGGTTCTTTTCGGAAGGCAACACACTTTCTAGTACTGAGAAAAACGACCTTGACTAATTTGTGCGAGCATTAGACACAGCACAGAGGGATGGTTTATCTTTATGGTTGTTCAAATCAAATCAAGTCTCAACTCCTCAGTCCTTCAAGATGGACCACTTTGGAGAACTCCATATCCATCATGCTAGTATCAGAAGCATCATCACAGCCTAATACTATTGCTCAATGTTTGGCGATTTAATTGAGCTGCCAGTACTCGAGATGGCCGGAGGTGGTCTCCTCATTGGTGAAATTGCATTTGTGCGCATTGATAATGACATTAGCCCAGGCTATTGTCACTTTGTATTCTTTCCGACAATCCAAGCAGAAGGATAGAAATGCAAATAGCTAAGCATTCACATGGCGAACCATAGAAGTCAACCGAACCGTGGAAGGCTTTGACCCAGTATCCATCCACTCTTCAATGTGCTTTCAGGATAGCTATTAGACCATTATCCATCCACACAGATGACCTGCTTACTCGGGCCATCTGCTTGTTAATAGGAGCAGGCCAATTAGTGGGTTCAGTGATGTCTCCCCTTCCCTGAATCAGAGGGATGTTAGGGAGTGTGACATAGGTTCAGATGAGAGGCTTTGCACTGAGGAGGATCATCAGACCCAGCAGAGCATTCAAGCCTGGGCATGTCAAGAGAGCCTGTGATGTTGTTGTCAAGGGACAGAGAGAAAGAAAGAAAGAAAGAAAGAAAGAAAGAAAGAAAGAAAGAAAGAAAGAAAGAAAGAAAGAAAGAAAGAAAGAGAATGGGAGGGAGACGGATAGTGAGAAAGAAAGTGAGGGAGAGAGGAAGAGATATGGAGAATGAGAGAGAGACGGGAGGGAGCGTCGAGAGAGGCAGTGAAGTGCCAAAGCTTGTTGCTGTTACCCACAGATAAGAACGCAACACACATGCACGTATGTACGCACTCACACACACACACACACACACACACACACACACACACACACACACACACACACACACATACAACTCTACACACTCTCTGCCCTCAGAGCTCTCCCTAAGGGACTATCTTGTCGCGCCGACCCAAAATCAGAGCACATCACTGCCTTAGCAACGCCACGCTGTCCGTTTTAATGAGCCCTCTTGGCATTCCATGTGGAACACTGAGACAACACTGAGACAACACTGAGACAAAAGTCAAATGCATCCCAGCTAAGTCAGACAGCGACTATTTCTTCAGATGCATAGCCTCAGTATGAAGACCAACAAACAAACATAAACAAAGTGACAGACACCTTGTAATATTTGAATTCCAATAAATAAAGCAAAAAAAGCCATCAGCAAGGTGCCACAGAAAGATACCTGCTAAACTGGTGGATTAGGTTCCATTTTAAAGTGAAGATGTTCCATTAATTTGAAAGCTGTGACAGGTAAAATATGTAAAATAAGTGTTGCCAATTTTTTTGTTTTATTTTCATCAACTGAACAGCTAGAACAGGAATGTCTGCCTCAGACAGGTGAACATTTAAGCAGAAAAATGTGCTGTCCCTCAATTAAAGCGTCTTACAAAAATAGTCTGTAGAACGAAGAGGGCTTCTGAGAAATTGCTTTTTAATGAGGACAGAAGTGAGTGAATGAGAACAGAATTGTCTATGTGTGTGTGTGTGTTCTGTTCAGTGTGGACTCAATCTCCCTGCCTTTTCCAGAGCCTGCTGTGGGATTTCATAGAAATGCATGAGCCCCCTCCAATCTGCACGAATCTATGGAAAACACACATCCAGCAGTGCTCAGGTGCAGTAAACATCAGTGGAAATCACCCTCCACTCAGGACTTTTTGCCCAAACTTTCCTATGCCTGATAAGATGCTGTACATGAGAATGTCATTTTAAAATTGTACTCCACTAAAATTGTAGACCCCCCCCCCCCACCCCAATGCCCTCAGGCCCCACCTGCTACACAAACCTTATGAGGACCCCCTGGTACTCCACGTACCTTATGGGGACCACCAGCCGCAACACTATGAGGACTCTAAGCCCCACGTACTTAATGAGGACCATCAGCCCTATATGTGTCTTATGAGGACCTCCAGCCCCACCACTATGGAGACCAACAGCCCCACTACTATGAGGACCCCCCCCACCTGACCACATACCTTATGAGGACCGACACCCCCACGTCCTCGCAGTTCTCGTAGACGGGTCCCCAGGTGTTCTGGATGATCTCCCGCTCGGCATCGGTCAGCGGCTCGGCCCGCTCTGGCCGCTCCCCACGCTCCATCGTCTCTCCTCCTACGTCTCTCGGCGACTCCATCCGAGACGACCTTCGCCGCAGCAGCTCGGAGGCTCCCGCCAGCAGCGAGCGGGGGAGGTAGGGAGCGAGGGAGGGGGGGAGGGAGAGGGAGAGCTGTGAACCCACGGCGACGGAGACGAAGGGATGGAGGAGACAGACGGAGCAGCCTTGTACGCAACCCACCCACCCCCCACCCAAACCACCCCTCTCTCCCTTCGCTCTCCTCTCCTCCAAAACTTGTCCTCCACTGTTAATACCACTTATTTTTTTTACTCCCCTCACTCTTTCTCTCTTTCTCCGTTTCTTTGTTTCTTTCCTTCTCTGGTACGGGAGCTGTCTTCTCTCTGAACTTCTGTGTTTGTGAGGACCTGATGGAATGACGGAGGGAGTGGGAGAGAGGGGTGGAGAGAAACGAGAAGGGGTGGAATAGAGAGCATCTAGGATCTCTGTAGTGTCCACCCACCTCCCTCTCACACTCTCTCCTCTCTCTCCCTCCTTCCCCCTCTCTTTCTCTCTCTCTCTTTCTCGCTTTCATTTTGTCTACCTAATGTGCGCACACACGCAAACACAAGCACACACTCCTCACAACTGTTTTTATAGAGCGATGCCGCTGTCTCCATTCCTGGGAGGGCACAGACAACCAGGCAGACAAACAAGTGAGAGTGTGTGTATGTGTGTGTGTGTGTGTGTGTGTGTGTGTGTGTGTGTGTGTGTGTGTGTGTGTGTGTGTGTGTGTGTGTGTGTGCGTGTGTGTGCGGTGGGGTTCTGTGTCATCTCATGAGAGAGCCTGTATAAACTGTGACAGATAAAACTATAGGAAGCCTCTGTCTCTCCACAGACTCTCACAGGACATTGTGCCTGACAGTTTGACAGGTAAAGGAAATAGAAGAGAGAGAGTAAAAAAGAGAGGTTACCATTTGCGTTCAGGCTATTGAGAAAGTTATGAAATAAATAATGGAGGTCAAGAAATAAGGGTAAAACGTCAATTACATTATCTGTCATAGAGTATTTCTCACTGATTCAATTGTATTGGATGTATGATTCATAAAAAATCTTGATGAAACCATTCAAAAGTAAATTCAACTAAAGTCTTGGATCGTCTGGTTTGAAATTACACTTGATTTGTGCAATGCAGACAGACAAACACAAGAAGATTGAAGAAACCTGCTACTGAAGGGGTCAATATGAATTGAAGATATTGAAAATGTCACATTTGACATTCGCTCGGTGGTCGCCACAGCCAGAGGAGACGGTTAAGAAACTGCTGGCTAGACAAAAGGGGGGAAAAGAGAAAAGGAGGCTACGGTGACAGTTTTATTGTGCCATGGAGGCTATTGAAAAAGCCTGCCTGCCGTTGAGATAGAGCTGTCACAGCATTTGAAAGATGACAGATTTCTGCACAAAGCCAAGTGTGGCACCCGTCAACACTAAACTGAATTGCACACTGTCTGACAGACGTTCCACGTGTCACTTAGGCTGCATTTACACAGTCAGCCCAATTCTGATCTTTTTCCCAATTATTATTATTAAAGCTCTGATCTGATTGGCCATAAAGATCAGAATTAGGCTGCCTGTGTAAACGCAGCCTTAGGGTGAGCAAATACTAAGTCTGTGACATTGGGCTTTGTCAAAACCTATATGGACATAATTAAATAACCACCCGCTCATATACATACAGAATACACTGTTCATAGTATAGTATGAGTATAAAGAATTTCTACTGTGGGAATATAAAGTTATTGGCCACTAACATCTACTGTAACACAAAGCATATTGCCAATTGGCAAAGGTTTGTTCAAAATCTCACTAGAATATGAAGACCGAGTCCCAGACTACTCGTACATGTACAAAGCATTTGTACTGTGTAAATGTAGCTTGGGCCAAGTTAGCGTTTATGATGCTAGTGTATGATAATATTCATATTATCGCCTCTCCATCTCAGCCCTAGTAAGTAAGCAACATGTACACTGAGTGTACAAAACATTAGGAACATAGAGTGACCAGGTGAATGCTATGATCCCTTATTGATGTCACCTGTTAAATCCACTTCATTCAGTGTAGAGCAGGGGTCTCCAACCTTTTCTAGCATGAGAGCTTTTAAAAATGAAACATGTCGGAGCTACACATTTATTTTGCTTTCAACATTTATTTGCTACTCATTCTTCTCCTCTCTGCAACTCTTCCCAGAATCCTTTCTGTCAATATACCTGGTCGAATAATGGTTAATAAACAACTCTAAGGGGGGGCCCTATAAAATGTGATTTATTTTACAAATTATGTTTTATATTTTCCCAAATGATGTTCTCAGTTTAATTTTTCTTGGATTTAGATTTAGTTTTGTTTTTCACTCTTAAAATTACAATTGTTTATAGAGAAACAACGAAAATGTCCATGTTAGAGTCCATGTTAATGCTTAAATCACATCAGAAGAACACATTAGGTCGTAAAGGATTGTCTGACTTCTTGGCTCGTTCAGTGTGACAGAGCCTAGGTGAGGAATGTGCCATCAAATGTGCTGGTCTAGCAACGGTTCTGTACTGTTGCTGCTCATTTAATGGCAAAGTTTGCAAATAACAAATAATAGATACAAATGATATACTTACTCATGATATACTTCTGCCAGGTAAGCCTACGTTGCAGTTAACATTTAATTGAGAAGGTTTTGGGGGAAAGTATTTCTGTCAACCCACAAGATGGTTATCACATCAACTGGCTACACACAGAGTGATAGACGCATGTGCACACCACACAGACAGACAGGGACAATATTGTTGGAAATTAATTGCCAGATATTGTGTTAGGTTTGGCTTTTGAAGTCAATAGTGGCTAACCAGGGGTGGGATAATGTCAAGTTGTGTTGATTAAATAGTAGCTGGTAGCTTGCGGTGTCTGATACTTGTGAGATTTATTTATGACAGTTTGCGGTGGAACACTTGAAAATTGCATGTACTTTCAGAATTGTTTGGCGAGCTACTCATTGGTGGGCTACAGGCTACTGGTAGCTTACGAGCTACTGGTAGCTCGCGACCGACCTGTTGGAAACCCCTGGTGTAAATGAAGGGGAGGAGACGGGTTAAACAAGGATTTTTAACCTTGAGACAATTGAGACATGGATTGTGAATGTGTGCCATTCTGGGTGAATGGGCAAGACAAAAGATTGAAGTGCCTTTGAACGGGGTATGGTACCACTTGTGTCAAGAACTGCAGAGCTGCTGGGTTTTTCACGCTCAACAGTTTTACGTGTGTATCAAGAATGGTCCACCACCCAAAGGACATCAAGCCAACTTGACACAACTGTGGCATTGGAGTCAAAATGGTCCTCTGTAGCTCATCTGGTAGAGCACGGCGCTTGTAACGCCATGGTAGTGGGTTCGATCCCCGGGACCACCCATACACAAAAATGTATGCACGCATGACTGTAAGTCGCTTTGGATAAAAGCGTCTGCTAAATGGCATATTATATTATATTATATTATTAAAATGGGCCAACATCCCTGTCGAATGCTTTCGACACCTTGTAGTCCATGCCCTGACGGATTGAGGCTGTTCTGAGGACAAAAGTGGGTGCAACAATATTCAAATCTAATTATTCAACACATAATTCCAGTAAATAGCTCTTGACCTGGAGGGTGAATTGTGACATTTGAAGTGCCACTCACTCTGAAGTGAGTGCATTGTTAGACTGTTTATGGTCAGTAAAAATAAATCAGATGCAGAATAGAGCAATCTTATGTAGGTCAACTATATATTCCAGATTGCCTGTTACCATGCCAAGTCAAAGCCACAAGTGAATATGTTCTGTATTATGGATTGCACAGAGCATCCCTTTTCTCTGTGATGATGGAATTGACTTCACTTGACAGAACATACCAGAAACTTTACGCGCGGTCCTTTGACGCCACCTTGTGGACACTCCACGGTCCTGCACAATTTTCGGCACGCCAGTTTGCCAGATTTCCCGAGAAGTTGAGTTACACGTCAGAATGGAACCTGTACTGGTGAGTGGTCGTGTACAGTGACCTCAACATTTTGTGTGTGTCAGCTGATCCCGGATATATGCAGCTATGGAACGTGTGGTGGAGATGGCAAATAACGGTGGTGAGCACGACATAAACTGCTACGTCTGACATTACATATTTTATTGTTCATAAATACATAACCAGCATGTGTCATTTTTTCTTTTGATATGCGGCTCTGTGATTTTCCTGTGCTCGCGCTGGCCCATAATAAACAATGCAACATTTATACTTTCATCTTCTATCTGCTTTGCCTCCGCATGGGTAGACGTGCTGTGCTGCTTGCACTTGTGCCTTGAATGGCAAAGCGTTTTAGCAACTAGCCTACGTCACCAGGCAAATAAGGGGCTTCGGCTTTTGCTTTGACAGTGAAAGTGATAATATCGGCTTTGCTTTGTATGACAGCTGAACCCCAATCGACAACAAATAGCCTACAGGCCGTTCACAGTTAAATTACATTCATGATTGAACGTTTTGCCAGGGTTGTAATCATTAGCCGATTCTGTTGCAAATCGTTTCGCCCTGTTGCAAAACCGTTTACTCCAAACGGAAAACGCAAACGAGAGTTTCTATTAGACAAATTCAAGTAGGGTCCCTCCCGTTTTCTTTACGCTTCCTTCTTAAAAGGAAACGGTTTCCAAAAATAATACACCCCACGTATGTTTCCCTAACGTTCACCAATGTGAACCCCTTATATTCAGCCCTGTAGTTTATCGTGCAGCTTCATATAAAACATATTGTTGAACTTCATAGCCTATGCATCATCATTGGAAAGACTAGGCGGCCTACCTGTGGAGTTATTTCCTTACCATCTGTATTGTCTATCTAATTTCTGAAGTAGCAATTGAGGAGGAACAGTCATTGAGGCTTGAACTAGTGTTACAGGATAAGTGCACTAAGGCCCAGACCTCTTGGCAAAGGTCATATCTGAGGATTCTATACCAATGGTCTACGACTTAGATATTGCCTCTCACTTTTTCCCTCCCCCTTCCTCTCCCCAGGTTTCTCCCTCGCTGGCCCCTCCACCACTCCCCGCAAGCGACAGGTGCGATTCTCCGCCCGCCACGACATCCTGTTGCTCCGTGAGGTCATTGCTCAGAACCCGTTCTGTTCCAAGGAGTCGGGTCGTATCTGGGCCCGCGTCGGGGAGATCATCACTGCAGCCCTGCAGGACGAGAGCTTTGAGGTGGACGCCCGGCGCTGCAGGGAGAGGACCATGCTGCTGCTGGACTACTACAAGAAGCAGGACTTCCCCAGCCTACGCAGGTTGGTCAAGACTGGCCAGAAGTTGACATAAGACATACCAAGTTGACATTAGACACACATACACAGGAGTCTACATAAGGCTTAATAGGAGGAATGTATTAGAAGCTGATACCCAACCTTGTGTGTGTGTGTGTCTGTCTGTGTCTGTTCATGCTTATGCACCTGTATGTGTTCAGGTTTGGGACAGAGAGGCTGTATGCCCAGAAAGAAGACCTACTCCACGAGGTGTTGGAGCTGGAGGCAGAGAAGGGTCTTCTGGCCAGTGGGGAGAGTAAGTACCAGGATGAGGAACTCAGGAAACGAGCCCTGGAAGAGCTGGCTAGTCTACCAGAGCAGGACAAACCCATCATTATCTCCACACAAACAGGACATCCCAAAGGTAAGAAACCCATCCAAGTCTGTTTAGATCTGTGGGGGGAGAAAATATACTTTTAGATCTGTGATCATATCCAAAGGGAGGAAGGAAATAGGACACACACCTGAAGAGAATACTGTTATTATAGCCGTACTGTGTCCAAACTAGTGGTTCCCCTGCAATTGCTTAGAATGCCCTGCCCTTGCCCCGCTTAAAACAGTTGTCTCTGTGTGTGTCGATACTCAAGAGACACACACAGTGACATGTTTGCTCCTCTGCAAAAATGTTTGAGTGACTACAGACCAAAGAAATGATAACCAAAAAACGTTGACCTTTTGAGACTTTATCCTCCCCATCTCAACCATGTCCCTCTCTATTCTCTCCCCTCCCTGCCCCCTTCAGTCCCCACGACCCCAGAGCCCGATGAGGAGCAGGAGGACCTGGCAGAGCTCTCGCTAGTCTCGGCGGCGCCCATGGCCAAGCAGCCTTGCCAATGCTGCTGCCAGACCTACTCAGAGATCCTAAGCTTCCTGGAGAAGCGCTCGGAGGCGGAACAACGACTGCGGGAGGAGGAGCTATCGCTGAGGAGAGAGGAGCTAGAGATCCAGAGGAGTAAGATCACCCTGGAGAGAGAGAGGCTCGGGGGCGGAGAGGAAGGAGAGGGAGAGGAGGTTTGAGCTGGAGAGCCAGGAAAGACAGGTGATATTGGACCTGCTAAAGGAGAAGGTGCTCAAAGGATGAGAGGATTGATGAGGGGAGGTGGGGTGGTGGAGGGGGCAGAAGGAACCCTAGGTGTATGGTGTGGACATAACATTAAGACGTCGGGAGGGTGGTACTCCCTCTGCCTCTGCCCCTTGTTCTACGCCAATGGCCTTAGTGAAGGAATCTGCTGTGACACCCATTTCCAAGTGTGGAGATCCATGCCTAGCATTGAGCTAAGCTGGACGACTAAAACACTGTGACTAAAAATAGGTAGCACATCCATCCTCACACTGTACATACCCACACATTATCTTATTAAACAAACCCTTTGGTGATAGAATTCCAAGCTGTTCATCGAAGGTCATTTTTATAGTGAAAATACAAAAATAGCCAACAATTCTCCCAATGTCAATTAACTCTTTAGTCAATTCTGACTTTGTGTTCATTATTATGAAGCTGCTCCTGCTGAAAATTCCAAGAAAGTACTTACATAACCTATTAATGATATGGATGGCTGCAAGCAATTTATAAACTTTTTGTCAATTGAGGAAAGAGTGAAGAAATGTTTTAATAAAGTATGTAGGCTTCTAGGAAATGTATGACCAAGTTGTGTAACAATGTTTTATTTTATTTGTATTGTATTAAATTATACATGACCTACCGTTCCCCCTGAAATACCACTTTTTAAGCATTTAAAACAGAATATGTTACCTACATGTTTCTTCTTCATAATATTTTGAACTCATTACTTCAGCGTCTCTTTCCTTCTTTTTACGCCTGCTACGTAACGTTACTCTTTGACCTCGCGTGTGATTGAAGTGCTCTGAGTGGTTGAAAATTCGCACAAACCGCCCTCCTCTGTTCCAAAGCAGCACTCACATTGGATTATTCTACTGCCAATATGTTAATCGTGGGCTACCCAATGAAATGACTCGTAGTATTTTCTTTGACGCGACCTCATTGCTAGACAGTTTACTTAGCGACGCTAGGACCAACATTGTATAAACTTTTTCAGATTACACGAGCCTGCTATAGTATACTTCTATTGCAAATGTTTTCTAATTGAAGAATTAGGTGGAGCACGTTTTTCGTAGAGTGGGCTACAGCTCTATGTGTGGATTTGGAAAAAACTCAGTTTTCATCCGTTTCCTAGTTTGTTAGACCAGTCATACTGCGATCGATAAGTGGACTTGTTTACGTACGCCAGTTATGTAGGTTAGCTACCTGTATGCCGGTGTTTATGCTTTGAGATTTTGTAACATTCCGCACTCATTCGACGGTTTTCCGTGTTCTTAAATCCTGAATTTATAAAAGGAGTCGATATTGTCGATGTGAGTAGGCAAAATACGTGGCCATTGAATTTTATTGGGCCTCATAAGTCTCGTCTGTCATTCTCAAACTTCAAAGCTGTCCTATAGTCACTCAACAATGAATATCTCAAAAAGTGGGTACCGTGTCTTCTCTGCCAACTCGACCACCGCATGCACCGAACTCGCCAAGAAGATCACGGAGTAAGTATATGCTGTGCATTCAAATGAATCTCTTGCATATCACCCAAATGACTTTTTTTCCCCCAATTGTATTTGAAAGTAGTCAAAAGACAAATTAGTGGTGGTCTAGCGCAGTGGTTTCCAACCCTTTTCGGTTACTGTACCACCAAATGAATTTTGCTCTGGCCGGAGTACCCCTGAAGTACCCACTCATGTGCACTCATGAGTCTTCTCAAGTACCCCCTGTGGATAGGCCAAGTACCCCAAGGGGTCCTAGTACCCCTGGTTGGGAACCACTGGTCTAACGGTATAGGGCGCTGCTTCTAGAGAACATGTACCGCTGCCAGTATGGGTTTGAATCCGGCCCATTGCTCTTTCATCAAAAACTCTTACCTTTCCTCTGTCTCCTATCCAATAAACAATAAAATAAGTAAGGAACGGGACTGCCTCACTCCTTAAAAACAATAAATAGTGGGAAAATATCAGAATTTGGCTGTGTGTGTAAAATCAGCCTATTAGGCCTACTTTTAGGTCGCTAGACTCCAGAGGACCTGTCACTCAAAATTGCAAGGATGAGAGAGGATGACAGCTCACATAACTTTGCTAAGAGACTAAAAGTAAACAGGCCTAACAAACAGAGCCCATTCCAGGCAAACAGTCTCTCAAACATAGGGAGCCGTTACAGCTGATGCCCCAGACACTGACCCGTTTTCCCGATTCAAATGTTTAAGATACAAGTGCATCTGTCCGCGGACCCCAAACCGATCCAAATGTAACATGCATCCGTCAAAAAATCGATTCAAGCGTTACCAATCGCAGGTTCACACATTTTATTTGCTCATATTACATTATTTCTACCTTCCTAAAATATCTAATATTTTATGACAACTGATCAAAGTATGTGAGTGGAGTTGAGCGTTCAGAAATCCTGCTCATTTCTCATGAGCTTTGCACTCCAAAAAATAATAAATAATTTCATTCACCAAAATCACAATTTAACCAACACCCATCTATTTTTGTGACGACCTGGACCTACCATTTGGTTTTGAAGTATTGAAACCAAACCATATGATTTGAATAAGGCTGATCATGTGAAAAATTGAATCCTACTCTGATGCTTTCTGCCTACAACAAAATCTCTTGCATAGTTTGTTTTGTTTCGGTACATTGCATTGAAAGTGGCTAATATTGCGTTGATTCGATCACAATTGCCACAGTAAAGGGAAACGTTGATAGTGTTAACTAACAGGGAAAACTCTAGAAAGTTGAGTGAAGTTCAATCTCGTGTGCACAGCCATAGAGGGAACATTGGTCACCAGCAGGCCTGGAATATTGTGATTTTACTGGCAAGGGCATTTGGCCTTCAAGAGGTGCCCAATCTGCTAAGGCACTAAGGCCATGAACCAAAATAGCCTATTTTTTTATTGATTAGAAAACTGAAAAACACTAGCTATTATGTGAAGAAAAACATGTGTATGTAAATGTGCATAAATAATTAGCCTACATGTCAAAGTGTAGCTGAAAGCCTATGCTTATTGGCTACAATCTTCATGTCCAGAGCGATGCTGAAATGGGGGAGGCCCCAGAAAATGTAGCCACATTTTAATGAGACTTTTAATGTTTTGGTACACCAACTAGAGATCTCTTCTTTGTCTACACCAAATCACCATCTTTCACACCCTCTTAAGCCTTAGCCCCACCCTTCTCTATAAGGATTCACATGTGAGGCCATGTGCTGAACAGAATGAGTAAGGTAGTGTAGTTCACATGTTCGCTAGCTAGCTAACATTAGGCTATAACTAGCAATGCAAATGGTTTTCTGAGGTACTAATCATATTACTACACAGATCATACACGTAATGTTATCTAGCTAATTAACATTAGGCTTTAACTTGCAATGAAAATGACTTTCTGACAAAATTTGAAATGTATAATATCTGTAGCTAGACTCTTACCCATATACATGGGTGAATGCTTCATGGCAGACTGGAACCCCTTTAACTAAGACTTCCTGTGTCGTTTCCGTTTTGTTTGTACAGCTTGCTTGGCTCGACGTGTCAAGTCAATCCGGTTCACATTGACCGTGTGCAATGCCATAAGAATCATCAGCTCTTTCTTCCTCTGTCGTGGATGCAATCCAACACCAGAATTTTCTCCATATCCTTCTCATACTCTGCTTCTACCTGGCATTACGCTGATTTAAAAACTTTGTCAACTTCTTCCGTGACAACAACACTGTTGATTGCTGTTTCTTCCCCATCACTGTCATCAGAAGACTACAATGTCTGGTTCAGTGAAAATGTTTTTACCTAAGTCAGGGATTTCCTCATCTGATTCATTCACAACTTTTTCCCCACTGATCTTTCTCAATAGCGCCTGCTAAATTCAGGGCAGCAATGCTGTTGAGAGCAGTAGCAACACGTTTGCAGTTCTCCATGGCTACTATATCTTTCAGAAAAGCTGCGGTAGCAAGGATTATCTACACATACGGAGTAGCTCATGTTATAGACAGAAGCACACTACATGGCAGACCAATCCGAACTCCTCTCTCAGCTTGTCCAGCCCATTCATTATCTCATCCACTCATGGCTAGCGGGAAGGTTCCTGTCTTTTTCCATGGCTAAACCAACTAGGCTCATAATTTAACAATTGTATTTGTATTTAAGATGGCATACACATTTTTTATTAAGGCACATGGAAGTTCACATGTTCAAGAAAGCATTTCTGCCCCAAAACTCATTTTGATAAAAAAAAATGCCTCTCCTGTGAAGTAGTGACATGCGACATACACCTAGCTTCCGAAAATGGGTCACATACAGTGGGGAGAACAAGTATTTGATACACTGCCGATTTTGCAGGTTTTCCTACTTACAAAGCATGTAGAGGTCTGTAATTTTTATCATAGGTACACTTCAACTGTGAGAGACGGAATCTAAAACAAAAATCCTGAAAATCACTGTATGATTTTTAAGTAATTAATTTGCATTTTATTGCATGACATAAGTATGTGATACATCAGAAAAGCAGAACTTAATATTTGGTACAGAAACCTTTGTTTGCAATTACAGAGATCATACGTTTCCTGTAGGTCTTGACCAGGTTTGCACACACTGCAGCAGGGATTTTGGTCCACTCCTCCATACAGATCCTTCAGGTTTCGGGGCTGTCGCTGGGCAATACGGACTTTCAGCTCCCTCCAAAGATTTTCTATTGGGTTCAGGTCTGGAGACTGGCTAGGCCACTCCAGGACCTTGAGATGCTTCTTACGGAGCCACTCCTTAGTTGCCCTGGCTGTGTGTTTCGGGTCGTTGTCATGCTGGAAGACCCAGCCACGACCCATCTTCAATGCTCTTACTGAGGGAAGGAGGTTGTTGGCCAAGATCTCGCGATACATGGCCCCATCCATCCTCCCCTCCAATACGGTGCAGTCGTCATGTCCCCTTTGCAGAAAAGCATCCCCAAAGAATGATGTTTCCACCTCCATG